AATCCACGAATTACGGTTTGAACTGCTTGACCATCCACCTTACTCACCAGATCTAGCCCCAAGCGACTTCTTTTTGTTCCCTCATCTAAAAATTGCGCTCGGAGGACAGAGATTTTCGTCAAATGAAGAGGCAATCACCTTCGTGAACAATTATTTTGCAGAGAAAAACGCCGAGTACTATTTCGACGGGTTACAGAGATGGGAGCATCGCTGGGAGAAGTGTGTAGATTTACAAGGAGACTATGTTGAAAAATAAAAAACAATTTTCAGAAAAAATGACTTGTATCTTTGTTAGGTCGGAAACTTTTCAGACCACCCTCGTATAACGCGAGATTATATTATAAATTACTCTTTTAAAAAGGTAAAAAAGTCGCCAAGTTCACGCGCTTACCTGTATGAATATAATTGTATAAAAGTTAATATTCCTATAAAATATTTTATTTATAAAATAACATTTAAAAAAATGTCAATTAGAAATATTATTATTGTTGTTGAAAATTTCTATTTTCTACAAAATCAGTGATATCACGCCAAATAAAAGAAATTTACGTGCTTCCCTATACAAATAAAGCTATTTAAAAGGAAATGTTTTTATATGAAATATTTTACACACATATTTAAAAAACAAATCTAAAATCGTTAAATATAATATTGTTAAATATAAATCGTAAAATATAATATTGTTAAATTAAATTAATTTTATTTAATTTAATTAATTATTAAATTTCAATTTTTTTCTTTTTCTCTCTCTTTCTCTCTCTCTCTCTCTCTCTCTCTCTCTCTCTCTACAAAAAACAATGTAAAATAGTTAGACTAAACGAAAATACCAAATATTGCGTTATAACAATTTTCTATATAATAGGATAAAATAAAATTAAGCTACATATAAAAACGAAAAAAATGTCAGAATCTTAAAAATCGGAACCCAAAAACACTTGGCGTGTCTGATTCGTATTAGAGCATGTAAGCTTTCAGAAAAATATCTATTTTCATCCTATAAAATGGTTTACTGCAATTAGTACAAAATATAAAGTGCACAGTTTATTATGGTCTGTGTTTTAATACGGTTGTATATTTTCGTAAGTATGCTAAGTATTTTTGGGTATCTCCGATATTTTTTTTATTTTTACGTATAGCTTAATTTTACTTTACCCTAATTTTTTATATGGTTATAATCATGGACGTAGTATACATGGACTCCGCATACGGCCAGAAAAGTGAAGCCAATATGTACAGCCCCTCTGTGTTCTCTGTCTCTTTCTACACAAAGTGTGCAATAAAATTTAAGTAAGACTTTTACTTGCCAGTCTAGTCGGGGTGTTGCGCTCTGTAATATCATGGAAACGAGAAATGAATGCACGCGCAACAAAAAAGTGACAAAATGGGAAGAAAAAAATAGCCCCTCTATTCTAGCTCCCCTTCTAGATGTTGGCTTCACTCTATTAGACGACAGAACATAGGACATTCGGAGTCCATGTATACTATGTCCATGATTATAACTGACGTATTACGCACAATTTTCGCACGAAGTGAGCGTCAAGTACAACAGTGTCTGGTAGCACAAAGAGCATTCAAAGACGATATTCCAGACTTATAGCAGATTTTAAATTTCGACTCAAGAAAGAGCTTCATTGGAGAAACAAACCGTTCGACATGTATAGCCTTGAAAAATCAAAATCCCGAAATTTGAGAAAGAGAGAAGAAGAGAAAGAGAAGTGGAATAATATCTCGAAAAGTCACAAACTTTAAATACACAAGGATAATTTCCCGAAATATTGAAAGCATGAAATTCTCTCGTAAAATTGTACAAGAATTTATTGACAACTTCATGTTTTAAATATTTCAGAAGATTGTCTCTGTACTCAGTTTTCAGGATTGTGCTTTTTCGGGACGTTATTCCACTTTTAAAATTTCCTTTTTTTTAGGATTATGAATATACTAACAATCTCTCCATTTGCTTGCGCAATATCAAAAGACAATAGTTTGTATAGCATTACACCTCGACATTCTCCATTTTAATTTTTTCCGGAAGGAATTCATAAGATTAATACAGAATCAAAATTTCTATATGGGGTATCGTGAAGCAACATCACGCTTGTATTCACTTACCTGATGCACGGGATTACGCGCGATACTCCGGAGATGCAGAGGGTCCGTAAAACAGACTAGTCCCGAAGTATGTATTATTAGAAGGGAGAGGGGGGGGGGGGGGGGGGGAGAATAT